TTTAGTTTTCAGTGTTGCGACTGAGAAGTCTGATGCACGATGGTCCCGGTTCCTTTGTCTGTGACCTGTCATTTCTCTCTAAAGTAAGGTGGATTCTTTATCCCCGATTTGGGGAGATTCTCTGTTGTTTCACTTTGGGGCGGGTCCTGGAACACTCAGGACCCCTGGAACACAGAGGTTCACCCTACCTTCATTTTTTGTTTTAAAAGCTCTTCCTGGAACTTTTATTGTTGGATGGTGTGCTGACCCTTCAGTTTTCTTATTTTTCTTTCCTATAATTCTGTATTTTGCCTTCTGAAAGATTTCCTCAACTTTCTCTTCCAGTTCCTCCCCCCTCCAGAAACAAGGTCTCACTCTGTTGCCCAAGCTGGTCTTGAGCAAGTTGCTTTTTTTTTAATTTTTAATTTTAGCTGTAACTTTTCAATCTCTAATCTCTTTATATTATCCTAAAATTATTCCTTTTTTAAAAAAGTTGTCTCAGTATTCTGTTCTTCTTTGGTGTTTGCAATGTGCTTACTCGGCCCTCAGAGAATTTTAATTACAGGCTTGGTTGTTTGTTCCAGAGCTTTCATTGTTTCCTCCTGTCCTGTGTGCTACCTTCAGGTTCCCTTTTTTCTATTTCAGGTCATTCTCTCTTGTTGGAGCCTTTCCCCCAATGCCTGGTGACCCTTTGTTGTCAGTTTGTGTTTCAGCTCAAGGCTCCCATCGATCCATCGTGGGCTGGAGCTGCGAGGGGGAGCCCGCTGGCCGGGGCTGCATGGCAGGGTGTGGGCAGGGAGCTGCCCTGCTTAGTGAGAGACCCCGGAGTCTGGGGGCTGGTCTGCCTCTGGCATTCCCTCAGTCTGGAAGCCGGAAGGAGGGTGAGCCAGGGTGGTGGCCAGGGAGGGGCCACCTTTCAGTGTGCATCCTTAGCCCCGTTTTCACTCTGGAGTCAGCACCTCCTTCCCCACCGGTCCGGTGTTGTGCAGTCCTGCACCTTGCTAGTTTCCTTTCTACAGAAAATATACCTGAAATGGGGGTGGGGACCTGGGAGTTTAACCACTTTATTTATGGACCTTGTCTCAGTCTGCCCCATTCTGCCCTAAACTTACACCCACCCCCGTGCCCCCTCCCCCACCCCCGTGGTATCTGCTGACTCTGGGCCCCCGGGTTGAAGGGTGAATCAGCCTTGCTCAGCACTGGGCCCCTCAGGCCCTACCTTCCAGCGCGCACAGCCCCAGGCATTTTCTGGCACCTCTCTCTTGTGCTACACTCCCCTCTGGCTTTCATTTTAGCAGCTTCTCACTTTCTCCGCTTGATTGTTGTTTCAGCAGAATATTGGCAGGGAAGAGAGATAAGCCATGTGTTCATCTGCCTCTGCCTGGTTACAGGCACCCTCCCTCCTCCCCCTCCCCCTCCCCCCCTTCCCCTCCCTCCTCCTCCTCCAAGTCAGCTCCTGCACCTGGGAAGAAATGCTAGAGAGAAGGGTTGTGAGAGTGTGTGTGTACATGCGTGTGTGTGCATGCGTGTCTTTGTGCATGCATGTGTGCTTGTATGTCTCTGTGTGAGTGTGTCTCTGTGTGTGTGAGTGCGTGTCTGTGTGTGTGCGTGTATGCGTGTACGTGAGGCCCCACGGCAGACTCTGGAGGTTCTGCAGTCAGCAGCAGCATGGGACACATTGAATCATCTCGGGAACAAGGCAGGGAACAAACGAGATAACCAAAAGAGTAGGTGGCCTCAGTGTTGAAATGGGTATGTGCCTCACAGAGGGGGATTTTGAAGGGGATAGGTACACTCAGCTCAATGGATTAATCCTGGAAATTTCATTTAAAAAGAATTCTCTACCTTACTTGGGTAGCTGGCAGGGTATGTGGCTTTTCACAGGGCGCTGATTGAAGAGCTGACTTGTTCACCCATTGCTTCAGCAAGGTTGCGTTGGACCCTGTGCTTGTCCTTGTGAAGCCCATGCCCCAGGCGGGATGGCAGGGAAGGTAACGTGAGTCACACACATGTTCCTTTGCGTTTCAAAGACCAGATTTAGTCCCGGAGATTGGCCCTGAGCCCCAGGGGACAGATGAAGACCTCTGAATTCCCATGCAGCCTGACATCACTTTAAAGACTTGGCAATATGGGGCCAGATGTCCTCATTTTCAGTTTAGAAGAGTTAGTGCTGTCTTTGCGAGTGCTCATGCCCAGGCAGGCGCTTTGCACGTGCGTCTTCTCCTCTGATCCCGCGGTGACCCCCACGGGGAGGGCAGCACGTCCACTTTGCAGCGAGGATGGGACTTGCTTGACCCATTGTGTCCAAGTCCGGGCCTGCCTCTGGATCCCAGGCTGCCCCTGCCGCACAGGGAGCGTTTAGTCCCCACCTCCCACCCCACAGTCCCCAGCCTTCCCGACCCTGGGACCCCAGGCCGGCCACTGGGTCTGTGTGCGCCTGCACCCGGGGAGGGTGTGGGCACGGTCGGGGCCTGGGGCTCCTCTTCGCACTGTGACTGCAGCCACTGCCTTCACGGGTCATTTGTCTTGTAGATCATTAGCTCCCCTGGCTTGGGAAGAATTTAGGTTATTAAGCACCTGTATGTGACCGGGTTGGGAAGAAGCTTCTGGGTCCATCTTACTGCTGTAGGGAAGGCAGGCTGGAAGTGCCTGCCTTGTTCCACCAGGGCCGCTTCCCCCGTGTTCCTGGGGAGCCAGGAGCCGCATCTCACTCCTCACCCAGTTGCTGGTGTCCATCTCCGATCTGTGCGCTGTCCAGCACACAGGGCCAGACTTCCAGAGCCTTCCCTGGGGCTTGGGCAGGTCTCTCTCCTCTCCCTCTGCACCTCCCTGGGCTCAGTGGGAGGACAGGTTCCCTTACACACTTTCACTTCCTTGCAAAGGCATTTTGGCCATAGGGCAAATCTGGGCCTTTGGTTGTGCGTTTTTCGTGCCTCTCACACAAAGGTTGGAGGGCTCTACTGCCAGAGCAGAGAAGTGGGGCCAGGTGGTGCGGATGAGGGCCGGCCTACATGGCAGGCTTTTTCCCATTACGTGTTCGTATCAAGGTGTCTTCTCACTCTGAAAGGGGGAGATTCTAGCAGTGGGGCAGGTGGAGAGAGACCCTGGAGGTGATGGCTTGGGTTAGAATGCCACCCCCCACCCACCCACGTGGGATCTCCAGAGAGCCAGGCCAGCCCTTCTGGACTGTCTCCCTCATCCAGAGGAAAGTTAGCGGCACAGCTCTGTCCCCGGGCCAGCCCGTGGTTCCACAGCCGGGAGCATCCTGCAGACGGTCTCTATTTGTAAAAGTTTCTCAGAAATGATGCCTTTATCACAGAGAGACCCTGTAGGTTCCCTTATTCCTTCGTTCCTAAAGTATCTTAGTTTTACATTTTAATGATTCCGAACTTGGGATGCCTTTAAAATAGATGCGCGCGCGCGCGTGTGTGTGTGTGTGTGTGTGTGTGTGTGAAGGGTGTTCCTTAAATCCATGGGTGATCCCCAAATGACTGCATCCTCGAATTGAGGAAATACAGTAAAAAGTGCACTTTGAGAGTCAAAAATCTTTTAAAACATGGACTCTGTGGGAGAAAACAAGCAAGAGGAGTTGTTGGCAATGCAGAAGCTGAGACCTCTACCTGAATCTCCTGTTTTCCTAGAAACTTTACGTGACTCTTTTGGGAAAGATGCTGACAAGGCCCATTCCATCGTGTTTCTTTCTGTGGAGGCGACACACTTGGAGCAAACAGTTCCCAAAATTATCCGCATGTCATTCCTCCCTCAGCATTCAGGTCTAATATATTTGCATATCCAGCATAAGGGCCTTTGTTTTCCCCTTGTTATGTTTGCTAATTTACGATTGTTTGGTTTGAAAGGCAAGCATTTTTCTTCTGCCCACTGGCCTTTAGGCTTCTCTGAGCTGCCTCAGCGCAGCTGCGGTGGGCCGGGGAATGTCCTGGAGTCCCTGCCCCGGGGCCCTGCCCTGCTGCCCAGGGAAGCGGGAGGGTGGGGCTGACTGGAGCGGTCAGGAGCTTGTCAGGTTAGGGCGGTGTTCCAAGGTCTAAAGCGTAAGAAGGCAGAAAGCAAGCTGCTTAGAGCCCCTCAGTCTTCCCGGATCCCCCCACTCACGGGGCACCTGCTGGCGAAGAGAGGCGAAGAGGGTCGGTTAGCGCTCTCACGGGGACGCTGAGTGACAAAGCAGGCCAGGCTCTGACCAGCTGCTCACAGGGCAGTCTGGAGGAAATGGGAAGAAAGCACCACTGTCTTGCAGCCTTTTCCTTCCTCTGCACGGTCCTCGTACGTCTGTCCTACAGGAAATGGCCCTTCGCGCCCACGTCCCCCACCCCAGCCCAGCATGCAGGACCTGCAGGGCTCAGATCTAGGCTGGCTTCTTCCTCGGTTTTCTAGAGGACAGTCTCCGCAGCTGTGTGTGAGAAAATGGCTTCTTAGTGAGACTGGGAGCAAGGAGCTGAGTCTTCTTTTATCTTTCTGTCCTGATCCAGTCTCTGACCTTAATACCACTCTCAGGGCTTGTACCAAAAAGAGGCAGGTGGACCCCCCCCACCCCACCCCAGCAGAGTCCCACTGACGGAAGCTCCCCAGCCCTAGAGCAGGAGGCTGTCACTCTCACCACAGGCGGTGCCCCTCTCAGGTGGCATTTCACACCCCACTGGACTTCTTTCTTCGCCCGGCACCATCCCCTGCGTAAGTGGTACTGAGCGACTTAATGTGCTGACTTATCCGATCCCTTCTTGGTCTATTGCAACAAAAGTTGCTCTTTTCTCATTAGAACCATTTTTGTCAGGGTGTCTTTAATCAATGGCTTCCCCAGGGACAATATTTTTAGAAGTTGTATTTTTCACACTCTCCCTTTTCCCCCTTTTGGAAATTCTCGTCCCTGTGCCTGGTGAAATGAACTAATGAGATGCTGTGAGCGTCCGGGCCGGTGTTAATTGGGACGGGCTTGGAAGGAGCGGCTCAGGCACCTTCAGCTCCGTCTCGCCTCACCTGCCATCCTTTTCTCTGTCTCTTCGGTGTAGGTTGCGCAGACGGCAGATGGTGTGGATGCTGACCTCTGGAAAGACGGCTTATTTAAATCCAAGGTTACCAGATACCTGTGTTTCACGAGATCATTTTCCAAAGAAAATGTAAGTCCAGTAGTGGCTTCCGTTTGCTGAGCGAGCACGAGTAATTTACATTCCTGTTTGGAATTTCCTCATTTTTGTTGTTGTTGTGGTTTATATTCATTGCCATATTAATTTATCTGTGGTTTTAGTGAACTGGGTAGAATCAGCAGCTAGTGCTGTGTTTCATTTATTAACAGTATTATTAACCACGTACCCCAGTGTACAGTGAATGCCATTAAAATGTGTTCTCAGAAGGAAACCAGGAAATTTCTCTCCCAGCTCTCGTTTGCCTGCCTTTCCTCTAAGCAACAAATCACAGGGAGTATGGATGTGAGAGTTTTCCAGAGGATCTGGATTTAATGCTGGCCAACAAAAGGCAGCACGACTCAACGGAGCACCCACATGGTCCCCCTGGTGCACAGACACGGCCTTGTTTCCAGAGTGACTTTTTCTTTCTCTGTGCGTCTCTATGTGACGTATCACATTTCATTATTTTCATAGGCAGGTATCCACTTGTGTAGATTTCTCTTAGTGTGCTGTTTTTTAATACTTGTGCCCATAAATTAGGAAACTTTAAAGACATCTACCAAGGCTTTTCCAAACAGGCGTTTTAATGGGTGGCTTAGAACAAAGGGGAGTGGCTATAGTGAGCATCTGCTCTGGGTGAGAGCTGTCCCAGGACTCTGCAGATGGCCTCGTTCCCTCCTCGGAGATCTCTCCAAGCATCACCTCCTTCCCATTCATGAAGGAACTGAGATCTGGGAGGTGACACGCTCGTCCAAGGCCACCTGTCTTCCCTAGTCCCAAAGGCGGAGCAGTTTGGGTTTTTATTATCAGGGCTGATATTTTATTTTTGGCCTGAATGTTATTGTCTTTCTAATGCAAATATTTTACTTTTGGAAATACTTTTATTAATTTATTTTTATAAGTTTTATTATAACAGTAGTATATGTTTGTGGTTTAAAAAAACAAACCAAAACAACCACTTCAAACATCCTCATTAGGAAGCATGAAAGGGGAAAAGTCACACACAGTCTTCCTCTCTGTCACACTGCCCCACGGGCCCAGGGTCCTGTCACTGGGTCCTCGGTGTGTCCTCAGCGTTTTCTGAGTTTGGACCGTGACCAGGCTCTCTGGCTCGCACTCTGTTTCACCACCCGTTCCTGGTGTTTGTCAATAATTCTTTGGGGAATTATTCTGAACATATTCAGGACTCGGGGAGAAGTCATTGCTTTAATTTTCTCCCCCAATTACAAGAGCAATCTGTGCTCATTGTAAAGCACAGAGTTTACAGTGGAGTCAGGGAATATCCTGGCGGTAAACACTGGAGATCTTTTCAATCAAGCTTTTGAATGGACTTTAAATACCACGAAGGTGGCAGGTGAGCTGAAGCACGACACCTGCACTGTGAGCCTGGAATGAGTCCATGCAGGTCCCTGGGCTCACTGTGCGGCCTCAGGAGACAGCAAGGGGCAGGTCTGAAGGCCACAGTGCCTTCCAGACATGGGCCCCTCCTTCCTGCCTGCACCCACACAGCACTCTCTCCCGGTCCCTGTGTCCCTGAGCTCACCTAAACTCTTTTTGAGACTGTTTCTAGCTTTTGTCACCTCCGTTCTGTCTGTCGGCTAGCACTTTCTGCAGAAGGTCAGCGTGTTCACTGCAGCTGGAGGCTGTCAGGGGGACTCCCGAGGGTTTGAACAAACTCCCGTTCATACTCTCCCTCCCCTCGGTGGTCTCCTGGTGTTTGTTCCTGACCTCTCCTCCACCTTCATCTTTCCTGACCAAAGAGGCGTTGGTTAAAAATGGCCTCAGACGACAGCCATGATCTTTGTGATCATTTTTGATTTTTGATTTTTGTTGCATTTTCCTCCAGAGACTGTGGGGTACTGGTACTCTAGGACAGAAGAGCCCCTGCACCCCTTGGAGTGGGAACAGTGACAGGTCTGCACGTGACAAAGAGAAGTCACTGGGGCTTGTTAGTGTTGGGTGTCATGGGCAAGTGTGCCCGTGGGTGTGGTGAAGGGATCAAAGAAAAGGTACGAAAAGGACAGGGGCAGTGGGAGAAACCTCTGCTTTGCTATTGAAGCAGCGTGGGAAGCAGGTGCATTTTGTTTTCAGAAAAAGAATGAAAAAGGGTCCGTTAGTGGGATCGAAACAGTGGAGTTCAAGTGGGCGGCAGGGGCCCAGGGGTGGAGTAGCAATCAGGCATCTCTTAATCTGTTACAGCCAGTCTGTCTTGGCCCTGCAGTCTGAACCAGAACTTTGCAGAGCATAATTTTTTACCACTGTAAAGGAGGGATGTGGGATCTCAAGTCTGGACAGATTCTTAATTAGGTGACTTGAGACTCCCAACGTAGGAGTTTGGGGAGACTCCTTTGGAACCTAAATTCCTTTCCCCCAATAATGCTATTAATACAGAAACCTGGCTTTGGAGTGACATTGCTTCCTGGGGAAGGATCGAGATTAATTGCACTTTTCATGCCCTGTACTTTCTGCATTACCTGTAATAATAATGTACATAGATTAGGTAGGGAGGATATTAAACAGAAGGATTTATGAACATTTGAATATTAAGTTGGTTATCTGTGGCTACCTTAAATGCAAGGTTGTCAAAAATAATTACAGTATACTAGCAAATACTGGCTACCAGAGACAATATAAATACCCTGAGTCAGTGCATATTGGGCTTTTGGCATGAATCATTTGCTCAACAAGGATTGGGAATACGTTCTTCATATTTATGAGGAGGAAATGAAAGAGAGCATGGATGGGGGAGGGGAGAGGACCAGGCGGAATTAATGGTGTCACAGACCTACTGTATCAAGCCTAGTACGGCAGCAGCCCTGTGCAAGGAGGGACCACATTTGGGCTATGGGGAGCTCTGGCTGTACAGCCTCCGTTTTTGTATGCATGGGAGGGTTTTTTGATGCTTTTTTTTTTTTTTTTTTTTAATGGCTGCACCATTGATGTTCTGGTTTTATGATCAGGGACATTTGTAGAGAGTGTGGAGGGCGAGGTCGCTAAGTGGTTTGCAGTTGACTTCTGTAAAACCCAATGTGTCAAGTAGAAGACACTTGAGAGGGATATTGATGAATGCCCATCCATCTACAGGGCAGGAAAACATGCCCAGTTGTTAATTTCTCAATGCAGAAAGCGGTGATGACATGGAAAAGCAACTGCCAAGAAAAAAAATTATGATAGATTAGATCAAGCGATTGTGAAAGCAGCTGATGTTTGAGAGTTAGGTTAACGGTTCAAACGCTTCCTACACGGTCAGAGGTTTATTCCGCATTTGGGAGGGTTCCACTTTACACTCGCTGCGCTACACTGGACGTTGTCTTCCTGAGGCCCAGCCACCTGAAATGTCATAATAGTAAATTGTTGGCAAATACGAATACAGTAGTCTTAGAGAAAGAAATGGCTTCCCGATGGCAGTGCCATAAAAACACTGGCCATAGGTTACACTTGCCACTTTGACCTTCCTAGTTAAATCCTAAGTATTTATTTCATTTGTATGCTTTTGGTTCATAATGTATTTATTAAATATACTTTCAAAATTTTTATTTATATAGTTGAGATTCGCCATCCAGACAAATCCAATTTGATTTCTGACTCCGAGTGGCCCACCCAGTTGAAAAATGTACCCACAAAATTAATTTATTCAGCAAATAATTATTGAGTACCTATTATGTGCCAAAAACTATGCTAGGCTTGTATTTACAGTAAGAACAGAGATATTTTTGGTCCTTGTGGTTCTTAAACTCTAGTGGGGAGTCAGATATTAAACAAATAATCTCACAAATATACAATTATAAATTGATATGAAGGAAAAAAGAGAGTGCCAAGAGGGAATGTAGCACAGTTTGGATGACAAGAATTCCTTGCTTGGCTTTCAGCTTTCAGAGGTGTTGCAGTGTTGGCACAGCACAGGTGGAGGAGGGGGTCTCGGCTCCCCACGCACAGAGATGGAGGTAAAGCCCCTTCTTCTCTAAGCAAGGCAGGAACAACAGCCTGAGAAGTTACTATTAAGGGCAGAATGATGACTAACCAACTAGTTGCAGAACAAGTCCAGGGATGCAGAACAAATAAACGAAGAGTTCATGCTGGGCTTCGGGACTGAGGCACTTCTGGAAAATGGGTGTGCAAATGCATCGATAGTATCCTAACAGGAGAGATTTGGGATCGGAACCCATAATTCTTTCCTTAACTAGCTCTGTCTAGAGAAAGGGGGAACTACGCTGAAAATTACTCTGAAGATTTTAATGAAATCTCCAGGTGGCCGCACATATTTAAGTTGTAGGATAGATATCTTTTGAGCTCGTTTCCAACTTGAAATGCGGGCTCCAAGTGTTGGTGTGTTTGCAAAGAATTCTCTCTCGCAATTACAGAGTGGGGTACTGTCTTGGAAAGATATTTTTACACCAGTTACAGAAACTGCGCACCGTGGACCCGGTATACTACCAGTAAATAGAAACTTTAGGAGGCCCTTGTGCGTGTCGTTTTAGAAGATGTGTAATATTGAGGCAGCAGGGCTTTCACTCCGTATTAGTTTATGATTCTTGGGATTTTGCAAAATGTATCTAGCAACTGAAATGTGTGTCAGTTTGCAGACTGGTGATCACTTAGGAGCGTGATTGGTTCCTTGTTAGGTTTAGATGCAGCTGTCCCCCTACAGCAAGTGCCCCAGGAATTCGCTCTTTCTAAAACCTACTGTCCCTGAGATCTGATGCTCAGGGCTGAGTGGCAGCCTGGTGCCAGGACACGTGTGCACAGCTGCCCCCTGCTGGGCTATGTCCAAAGTGTCTCCTGGGTTGCTGTCTGGCTAACCAAGGCCACATCTGAGTGAGTGACTTTGAGGTTCCGCAGATCATACTCCTTCCCGGGAGCCACCCGAGTCCCTGTGTAACCACTGGGGAACATGAAGTGTCATCTCCTCTAACTAACCTGCTGTCATAAAGCTGCACGAGTCATTGTGTTAAATATGCATCTCGAAGCCAAAATGGCAACCCTACCGCAGGCTTGTTCGGGTTAATAGTCTGTATCTCTTTCCTTTCTTTCCAAGAGCCATTTGGGGAACGTGTTAGTGGATATGAAGCTCATCGACATCAAGGACACGCTGCCTGTGGGCTTCATCCCGATTCAGGAGACGGTGGACACACGTGAGTCATCCTTTAGCACACTCATCCCTGGGACAGTTTTCTTCCTCCAGGCAGAGTCGTAGATATTTTTTATGTGCGTTTTTCTTCAGAAACATTTTGGGAGGCCTTACTGTGTGCCCATGAATAAACCCTACTTACTACTGTGACGCGTGTCTGGCCAGGCTCTCCAGGGAGTTTGCGGATATTCTGGGTCGCAGCATGTAAATGAGCCGATTGTCCCTTTCTCTTAGAAGGGTGCTCCCGGCTGCCCGGCCCACTCAGAAATGGAACGGTGGGACCGGCTTAGTTTGGCTGTGGTCCTTCCTCTGGTGTTGCTCGTGGGTCTTGGCAAAAGGGGGGGAAAAACCAAAAGATATCCAAGGACTACAAGTACAGTGACGGCCCATTTTGGCCCTAAGAGCAAACGAGAATTGAGAACCAGAAAAACTGCAAATTAGAGCGCACAGGATTCTAATTTGACCAAATGTTCTGACCACTCAGCAGTGCTGAGCAGCAGTGAATCACCAACGAGTTGGAAGCTTCTTCAGGACGCAGGGGTGCTGGAGGTTCCTGCACCCCAGTTACTAAATTGTGTTGGAAAATCTCTGGATATTTGAGCCTCATTTGGGTGTAATATAACTTGTTTTATTTTTAATTATTTATCAGCCAACTTTAGGATATATACACCAGTGAAGCAGTGAATAAAAAACAAACACAGAGAATCCTTTCTTTATGACACATGGATCATTTACGAAATCCTGTATCTCATGCTTTGCCATTTTTACTTTATTTTTCATAGCCCCATTTGGACCCACTATTTTGCTTTCTTCCTGGCATTTCACGTAGACCGGAGTTTCCATACCTAATAGATCCCACACGACTGTTACTTTAATCAAACAAGTAGATCACATCGTGTAGCATGGTCTTTTTTTCTTGGTACTGTCCTCACATTTGGACATTGGATGGCCTTTTGTTGTTTATTATTGTATGTAACAATCATAACGGCTGATATTTAGCATCTGTTTCCTATATGCTGGCCCCTGTGAGAAATGCTTTATGTACCTGATTTCGTTTATTCTTCAGAAGACCCCTCTTTAGAGATAGGTATTGTTATACCCATTTTACGTACGAGAAAAATGAGGCTCAGTAACTACTTAGGGATTAAAGAACTTCGCCAAGATCACATATCTAGAACTAGTGACTAGGTACATGCATACACAAGTCTACTGCAGTCACACTTTTAACCACAGTGCCATGCTGGAAAAGCATGTGTGTAAGCACCTTTTACAGACAGATTTTATATATTAATATTTATGTAAAGAGGTTTTTTGGTAACAGTTTTATTAAGATGTAATTCTCGGCCGGGTACGGTGGCTCACGCCTGTAATCCTAGCTCTCTGGGAGGCCGAGGCGGGCGGATTGTTTGAGCTCAGGAGTTCAAAACCAGCCTGAGCAAGAGCGAGACCCCATCTCTACTAAAAATAGAAAGACATTAATTGGACAACTAAAAATATATAGAGAAATTAGCCGGGCATGGTGGCACATGCCTGTAGTCCCAGCTACTCGAGAGGCTGAGGCAGGAGTATCGCCTGAGCCCAGGAGTTGGAGGTTGCTGTGAGCTAGGCTGACGCCACGGCACTCACTCTAGCCTGGGCAAAAGAGTGAGACTCTGTCTCAAAAAAAAAAAAAACAAAAGATGTAATTCTCATACTATACAATTCACCCATTTAAAGTGTACCATGTTTTTCAGTATATTACAGAGTTGTGCAGCCATTAGTGCAATCAATTTTAGAACATTATATCACCCCAAACAGTATATGCAGTGTAAGCAGTGTATGCAAGTTCCAGTTTCTCCACATCTTCATCAACACCTGTTATTATCTGTCTTTTTGATTTTAGCCGTCTTCGTATGTGTGAAGTGGTATCTCTTTGGGTTTTAATTTGTATTTCCCTCATGGCTAGTGATGTTCATCTTTTAACATAGTTTTTGACCATTTGTATATCTCCTCTGGAAAAATGTCTATTCTTATCCTTTGCTCATTTTGCAATTGCATTGTCTTTTTATTACTGAGTTGAAAAAATATTTAATGTATTCTAGATGTAAGTCCCTTATCAGATATATGATTTGCAAGAATTTTCTCCCATTCTGTGGGATTTTTTTTTCACTTGATGGTGTCTTTGAGACACAAAAGTTTTTAATTTTGATGGAGTTCCACTTATCGGTTTTTTCTTTTGTTGGTTGTGCTTTTAGTGTCACATCTAAGAAACCACTGCCTAATTCAAGGTCATCAAGATTTATGCCGCTGTTTTCTTCTAAGAGTTTTAGCTCTTACATTTATGTCTTTGATCCATTTTGAGTTAATTTTGTGTATAGTGTGAGGCAGGGGTCCAACTTTATTCTATTACATGTGAATATCCAGTTGTCCCAGGACCATTGTGGAAAAGACTCTTCTTTCCCCCATTGAACTGTCCTGTCATCCTTGTCAAAGATCAGTTGAGCAGAAACGTGAGGGTTTATTTCTGTTCTGGACTCTGAGTTCTCTTCTGTCTATGTGTCTTCCCTTATGCGAGTACCACACAGTCTTGATTAGTGTTGCTTTGTAACAAGTTTTGAAATTGGAAAGTATTAGTTCTCCAACTTTGTTCTTTTTCAAGATTGTTTTGGCTATTCTGGGTTTCTTGAATTTCCATATGAATTTTAGGATTAGCTTGTCAATTTCTGCAAAGACGCCAACTAAGATTTTGATAGGAATGGTGTCGAATCTGTAGATCAATTTGTGTACGTTTAGATCGTTTTGTGTACGTAGATTTTGAATGATTTTCTTTGTGGTAAGTTTCTAAGTACTTGAGACTGCTGGGTCATAGGTCTTCTAGCGTCTTCTCTCAACCTTTCTCTCCAAACATACTCATTTCTCTCCAAACATATCCTCAAGCACGCTATACTTCACCAAAACCGAGCCCCTCTGTGTGCCCACTTCATCCTCCTTTCTTTTCCAAGTATTTGCTTTACTGGTTTCCCTGCCTGAAACGTCCTTTCCCTCTATTCTGAATTTCCATACGCCATATCTTTCAAGGGTGAGCTTCAGTGCCCCCACCTGCATGAAACTGTCTCTGATCCCAGATTCTAGTCTGAAGCAGGCTCACCTCCTCCGCACAGACAGGCAGCCAAGATTGACACGTGCTTCACGTAGGCCAGACACCGAGGGCTTCAGGATATGAAGATGAATAAGACACTGGCCGTCCCTCTAGGAGCGTAGTCTAGTGCGTGACCTGCACCTGAGAACGCGGACCTGCATCAGACAGGGCTGTGATCTCTCAGAGGCCGGGGCGCTGTCTGCCTCCTTTCCTGCTCTGCAGCACGGCTGGCACTGCACACAGTTAGCAGGGAGTGGAGTGAACCCGTGCGAGTCACAGTGGTGGAAGCTGAAGGAAGTGATCAGTTCTGCTTCCCAATTTCCATCTTTACCTCTGTTAGGACAAACTGCAGCTTGGCGCAGTGGGAGGAACTTGGGCTCTGGAGTCAAACTCCCCTGGCATTGATTCCGGCTCTGCCACTAACAACTGTGGGCCCTGGGCGAATTACCACATGCTCTGGGCCTCAGTTTCTTCATCTGTCAAATGGGGGTAATATAACCCACCTCATAATGTTTTTAGCTTGCAGTGTAGCCACTTATATGCTTTCTGAATCCTTTTGCTACTTACCTCTTTCTTTGAGGCAAGGTCCATGTTTAACTCATCTTTGAATCACCTAAGGTGCTTACTGTATGGCTGGCCAAAAGACCCCCACAGGCACAGCAATGACAGTCCCAGGCCCCTTCCCTGTTGGCTTGCAGCCGGGGCCAGACCGCATCCTGTTATGACTGGCAAAAACAGCTACGCTGGCTGAACACCCTGAGCTCGGTTTCCTGCTCTACCCAGCTGCTGCAGGCAAAGTACTCAGGCTTCAAACGACCACATCCTATCTGAATGTTCCAAGACCCCCTTTACCCCACATATAAAAACCCTGCCTCAGTCCTGGGCGGCACGACTTCTCAGCCCTGACCTTAGGACCTGTGAACTTTGCCCAGGAGTCCTTTAATAAAGCCACTTGTTTGGCCATAACTTGTGTCCACTGGTCTCTGCCACCGAAAACCTTACACCTACCACACGTAGTGCCTCGCTTGTAGGATGGCCTGTGTGAGGACAAGCTTTATTACTCTGTTTCCGGATTAATATCTAGAAATGCCAGTTCACAGTGCCACTGATAATATAGGCTTGTACTTGTTTTCCACGGGTCTGCCAGCATAGGTTTTCCAATTTTTATTTAGTTTTACTATTTTCATTTTCACTTCATTTTTTATTAGCAAAACTGAACATTTTCACGAGTGTTTGCTTGCTACTTTTGCTTATTCTTATGTGAATTTTCTGCTTAAAATCTAAAAATTGCCTCACAGACTTGTATTAGTTTCCTACTTTTCCCGTTTTTCATAATTTTAAAATTTGTAGTGTTCATTTTTGACAATTAACTGACTTATACTGTCTTTATATGAATGTGCTGTAGAGCCACAAGGGATTTTCTGCACTTTTCTCCCAGTTTGTTGAAGCAGTTAAGTGAGGAGGCCCAGGGCTGAGTCCTGTCTGGGCTTGTCCTGCGCGGGAAGCTTCTACCCCGTGACTGGGAGTACATGGGTTGCTGTCCCATGGTGGACGTTCTGAGGCTGGGTCCTGGGCTGTTGGTCAGGTGCCTTGTCACTGCGGTCCCCAACCCTGAGGCTGTAGACCAGTACTGGTCTGTGGCCTGTTAGAGACCAGGCCTTAGAGCCCCACCACCCCCACGCCCACGTGGAAAAATTGTCTTCCATGAAGCTTAGGAACTGGGGGCCACACAGCAGGAGGTGAGTGGTGTGCGAGTGAGTGAAGCTTCGTCTGTATTTATAGCCACTTCCCATCGTTCACATCACCGCCAAGCTCTGCCTACCCCCTGCTCCCGTGGAAAAATTGTCTTCCATGAAACCGGTCCCTCGTGTCAAAAAGGTTGGGGACCACTGCCTTATCACACAGGAGGCGGGTCATTTCCTGGATCCTTTACCCAGGGGATGGGAGAGCCCAAGCTGACCAGGTAAACCTTACAGTCAGCTCTGTATCATTTGAGAATATTTAAGGCCCTTATTTTATAAAGTCAGCCCAAATGATGAGACTCCTGTAATTAATTTAAAATAGAGTTTATTGTAATCCATATAGCACTGAAAAACTGGAAGACTGTTTGTTTTAGTAAAGTGCTGTGTACTTTCTCTGTGTTCATTAGCATGACTGAACACATTTCTATCGACTATGTATAATATGTTTACTTAAAATTAGGCCTGCTTGAGCATGCGTAATTAGTGGCTCCATCTCTTACCCGGGTTTGCTGTAGATGGAGGAGTGGAGCCTAGAGCAGGTGGCAAAAGCAAGTAAAATACCTGCGTGTTAGTTTGCTTTTTGGAACAGTCTCACCTTTTTGGTGTTTTCAAAGACTGATCTTACCAGCTAACAGTTTTTGAAGGTGCCGGGTTTCTGTGCACCCCTCACTCCCAAGGATACCATCCCTGCCTGGACAGGTACAGCGTTTGGGGTCTGGATTCAGAACATTATTACTCACAGCTTGTGGATCTGCTCTAGACCTCAGTTCCTATACCTGGCAAAAGAACCCACAAGGTTATCTGGCTCTTTAAAAAGCGGCTCCACCCCCAAAATAATAACAACCGAACAATTCCACTGATTCTGCCCCCACCCCCACGCCTGTAGAACCCGTGGGCAGGACTGCCCCCAGCCCCATCTGAATGTGCTACTGAGTGTGCTTATTTCCTGCCTCAGAACTGAAGGATCTTGGAAGCCACATTAAACACAAACGCAAATTGTGTGCTAGAAGCTTACTTGTAATGATGATGCTGAGATCCCGTGTAGCTGTGTTTACTGAGCACCTACTGTGTGCCAGGCACTGGGCTGAGTCGCACTTGCTGCCACAGTGCATCCACCCAGCATCCCTGTGGGGTGGGGTCTCGTTAACTCCCTTTTACAGATAACAAAACCAAGGCTCAGAAATCAAGTAACTTGCCTGAGGTCACAGTGCTGGAAAATGGCAGAGTTGGGATTTCAACCCAGATCCGTCTGACTCATGTATTGAACGGCTGCAGTTAGTTGAAACTTACGTTTAAAAAACATAAATGAATAAAAAAAGCACCCTTCATTTGGTCAACCCTAGAGGTTGCCAGGCCACCAGCTTATTACCCTAAGATTTGATAAGGAAGAGAAAAGAATCATGTACTTATCCTTCCTCTCCTGGACAAAGCCTGTATTAGGGAGACCAAACAGTTGATGAAGAAACATATTTTCTATAAAGAAGGATTCCAGCTAATAAATTTAGAAGGAATGACAGAATTAGAAAGTCACCATTTGGAAACCTTTAATGAAGTATGGATCATCAGGGGACGATAAAACTGCCCAGAGGATGGCGGTTGGGGAACTGCGTCACCGAGGTCCCCAGCCGACACCACCGGGACCTGTGGGAGTGGCACAGCTGACTCCAGCCTGCCCGACATGGTGCCATAGGAAGTACACGTGCCCCCTGGGAAGCGTTTGTGCCCAAAAAATCTAACCGGAGTCTAACTGAGCCTTTAGCTCTGTCAGTTTACAGGAAACACAGGGGAATGAGCCAATTCCTCCAGCCCATCAGTGCCCTGAGGAAGGGAGCAGGGAGAGGTTGTTAGGGAATAGAATGGACTCAGAGGCTTGACACCCAAATGCAGCGCCTCGGTGTCGTGTGGAGCTTGACCCAGACCCTAGTGAGAAGCCTTGAATACAGACTGTCCACTGGATGATCGTAGGGAAGTTTGTTGATTTTGTTAGGAATGGTAATAGTGTGGTGGTCATGTTAAAAAAAAAAAAGTACCCATCCTAGGTGCCTACTGAGATATTGATGGTGACATGAGATGGGGTTGGGGACTCAGTATCAACGTCCAGCCAAACTACAGGGGTGGGAGGAGAGGAAATCGGCTCGTCCATCGCTGACCGTGTCGAAACTGGGTGGCGGGAACACGCAGATTCAGTGTGCTGGTCCCTCTACTTTGGGGTATGTTTGAAGATTTCTATGATAAAGA